TTGTATAATTATATATTTTTTCAGTTTATAAGGATGTATATACATTGTCATTGCATAAAAGGCCTCTATGAAAATTTGACACTTTGTTCTCTTCTTCTTTTTTGTGTACGTGTTGTATGAAAAAGATCTTGTACGCGTTGGAGGGATTTTACAATTCATTTACCAAGTTTTAATTTTTTGAAATATGTAAAGAGGGAAGTAAAAGAAAACAAATAAGAAAGAAAAAGGAGAAAAGGAAAAGACAAAAATGTGGAATCAGATTAAGGCGTGAAACAAATGGTACAAGGAAAAAGGAATCACAATGAATAAACGGTGGGCAAAGTTTGACTTGTTTTCAGAAAGGTTTGTGGGCTATCGGATGAAAACTGTATTCCTGGGTTAGGCGGGTGGAAAAGGGCTTCCTCTAACTGTATTTTTGTGTAAATTTCCCTATTAAAATAGTCAATGGTTCTTTAACACCTATCTCTGGAACAGGTTCTATCATTTGTACACCTAATATTAAACTATCATCCGTGCTCCATGTCCCTGAGTTCCCTATCAATCTTTTATATGTTAGTGCCATCACCAAAGCTCTAAACTGTAAAATCGAGTTATTTCCCGATCATTGTATTTTTCAGGATCTTCAAACAGGGAAAAGAATTGACAGTGATAGATTGCATGATGACTTGTATATATTAGATGAGATTCAAAACTCTAGTCAAGTCTTTTTGGGGAAAGTAAGGATGTCAACCAAGAAATAATACAACGGCATAGACGGTTAGGACACCCATCATTCTTTGTTTTGAAGAAGTTATATCCCGATTTGTTTTCAAGGACTCGATTTGAATCTTTGTTCTGTGATGCGTGTGAATATGCCAAGCATACTAGAAACTCTTATCCTGTGAGTGATAATAGAAGCACAACTCCGTTTATGACTATTCATTCTAATGTATGGGGTCCTACCCAAACTATTTCTTTGTCTGGTAGTCGATGGTTTGTTACTTTCATTGATTGCTGCACTAGGATGAATTGGGTATATTTGTTAAAAGACAAAAGTGAAATTTTCTCTTGTTTTCAGTCATTTCATAAGATGATTTATACTCAGTTTGATGCCAAAATAAAAATCTTGAGAACTGACAATGGCAGCGAATACATGGATAAAAGATTTGGTGCTTATTTGGAGTCCAATGGGATAGTCCATCAAACTAGTTGTCTTTACACTAGTGCACAAAATGGGGTCGCTGAAAGAAAAAATAAGCATCTGTTAGAAGTAGCAATATCTTTAAAACTTCACCATGCATCTACCAAAACCTTACTGGGGGATGCTATACTAGCGGCTGCCTATCTTATCAACAGAATGCCACTTAAACCCCTCAATTTTCAAAGTCCTCTGGAAACTTTAAAGGGTAAGAATGAATATATTGTTCCTCCAAAGGTGTTTGGGTGTGCTTGCTTTGTCCACACAAGAAATTCTGGGAAACTTGATCCTAGAGCTATAAAGTGTGTTTTCATTGGGTATTCTCCAACACAGAAAGGATACAAATGTTATCATCCTCCCTCTAGGAGATCTTTTGTTAGCATGGATGTTACCTTTCGAGAATCTCAGCCCTATTTTAGTATTTCCTCATCACCTCTTCAGGGGAGAGCAATAAGGAGGAAAAGCTGATTCTACCTAGTTCTATTACTGGACCTCTTGATGACATTGTCACCGGGGAAAGTGAATTGGAGAAAGAATTCAGGGGGAGACTATTGGGCATTTGGATATGCCTGATTTGAAAACTTACTCAAGGAAAAATAGAGCAGAAGAAGCCATCATGCAATCTACCGAAGCTGAACCTTCTTCTATTGGTGAGATATTTACATTTCCTAATGAGTTAGATAAACCTATTGCTCTCAGAAAAGGAGTCAGATCTTGCACCACCAAACACCCTTTATCTAATTTTGCCTCCTATAATTCTTTGTCTCCCTCCAGTAGAGCCTTTGCCTTGTCTATTTCTTCTGTGTCTATTCCCCAGAATTAGAGGGAAGCTTTTGCAGATCCTAAATGGAAACACGCTATGATTGAAGAAATGAAGGCCTTGTCAAAAAATGAGACATGGGAACTTGTCACTTCACCACCAGACAAGAAGTTGGTTGGCTGCAAATGGGTCTTTACTGCACAAAGCTGATGGGCTCAATTGAAAGATTCAAAGCAAGATTGGTGGCTAAGGGATTCATTCACTCAGACTGATGGAGTGGATTATCAAGAGACATTTGCCCATGTTGCTAAGATGCACACTGTTAGAATTCTTTTATCTTGTGCAGCTAATCTTGATTGGGACTTGCAACAGTTTGATGTGAAGAATGCATTTCTTCATTGAGACTTAGAAGAAGAGGTGTATATGGAGATTCCTCCTGGATTTGATACTGCACAGAGTTAAGGAAAGGTATGCAGATTGAAGAAAGCCTTATACGGACTAAAACAATCCCCTAAAGCTTGGTTTGACAGATTCAGCAAAGCAATGATCTCCTTCAGTTACCAACAAAGCAATGCTGATCACACCCTCTTCATAAGACATCAAACGGGTAAACTCACTTCTCATAGTTAATGTTGATGACATGTAATGATAGGAGATGACAAAAAGGAGATGTCTCGATTGAATAAGTTGTTGGCACATGAATTTGAGATCAAAGATCTAGGAAAATTGCAGTACTTCATAGGAATTGAGGTTGCTAGATCCAAAAGAGGAATCTTTATTTCTCAAAGGAAGTATATTCTGGATCTTTTGAAAGAAACTGGTATGACAGGTTGCAAACTCGCAGAATCGCCCATTGAAAGCAATCATAAGTTACAAAGCGGAGTTAGAGAATCAGTTGATAAGAAGAGATATCAGAGGCTGGTTGGAAGACTCATTTATCTCTCTCACTAGACCAGACATAGCCTATTCAGTTAGCCTGGTGAGTCAGTTCATGCATGATCCCCGAGATCCTCATATGCAAGTTGTCTTTCACATTTTGGAAATGTCTACTTTTCTCCAAACATGATCACCTCCAAATAGAAGCCTTTACAGACGCGGATTGGGCTGGATCTCTAGATGACAGAAGATCAACATCCGGTTACTGTACGCTCGTAGGAGGAAACTTGATTACTTGGAGAAGCAAGAAGCAAAGTGTAGTTGCTAGATCAAGTGCGGAGGCAGAATATAGAGCTATTGCCCAGGATGTTTGCGAACTGCTTTGGCTACAAAAGCTACTACAGGAATTGAGACTGTATGAAAAAGGAAAACTTTCCTTGTACTGTGAGTCTGTGACAATAAAGCTGCCATCAGTAGAGCTCATAATCCTGTCCAGCATGATCGAACAAAGCATGTGAAAATTGATCGACACTTCATCAAAGAAAAAGTTATAACTGGTGTCTTGAGTTTGTTTCGTGTGCCATCGGAAAAACAGCTAGCTTATGTGTTTATCAAAGGTCTCAACAAGCGAACTTTCCATACTTTGAGTTGCAAGTTGGGCATGTGCCACATTTTTGCACCAACTTGAGGGGGAGTGTTGATTAGCATGATTCAAGGAGACTTGATTTAGGAGTGTTGATTAGCATGATTTCAGGAGATTCGATTATATTTAGGAGATCTGATTTTATTTTGATTTGATTTGATAGCTGGATTAATTGTATAGATTTATTTTATTTCCTTAATTAGCATTAGGAGCTTTGTATAAATTACCTTATTCATGAGATGTAAACATACACATAAATACAAGAAGCCTTTTCATTCTTCTCAAAATCTGCAAAGTGATCTAACCGATTTTTTCAATATGATACCCATGGCAAGTAAACCCCCCCC